AAATAAATAGTGAAAGCACAGGGCCGCGTACTTCTGTGTGCGTGTGTCCACTTATTGCCTACATCAAAGAGAACATGATTCCATGAGGCCTACATTTCTTTTGCATGAGTTAAACTAAATCAACGTAACATGACGTAACATAAACATAAATATGAATAAATGAACAATGAAATGAATATATAAAAAACAAATAGATAAAAATACAGCATTAAAAACAACAAAACAATAGATGAATGAATGAACGGGTGGATGAATGAAAGAAAGAAAGAAAGAATGAATGAATGAATGAATGAAATGACATTGAATGAATGAATGAAATTGATTGATTGAATGATTGAATGACCGAATAAATGAATGAATTTAATATAATATAATATTATATTATATTTAATGAAATATAATTTAATATAATATAATATTATATATAATTTAACATAACATAATATAATATAATATAATATAGTATAATATAGTATATAATATAATATAGTATAATATAGTATATAATATAACATAACATATTATAATATAATATAGTATAATTACATATATATATATATATATATATATATGCATTTTAGTTGGTAATAGTTTATACTATTTTATTCATTATATTCTATACATTGCATAATTTTATATATACGTGGGACCCAAAAGAACCGTTTTCTTTTGACTCCATTTCAATCAAGTAGAGTACATCAATTATTGCCCCTTGTTTTGGGTATGTTTTGCAATTGTGGTTTTCTCCAAGTCATTTCGGTGCCCGAAAAAAACACCTAAACCTTCAACACAATCATCGCGCAGGGGAGAAGTTAAGGTGAATGCCTCCCAGTGGATTTCCAGCCGCGTGGCCATATGGATGGATGAAAATGGCCATGTCAGGGATTGGATGGGCGTAGCATGGCGGATGTCAACATTGGGATAATCTGTTTGTTGGATTCTGTACATGGAGGATCTGGGATATCCATTTGAAACCTTGGGTTCCGCCAAAATTGTGAGCTGGTCAGGTCATTCAGAGGATGGGGTTCCAACCGGTTCAGGGTTCGTTTGTGCACGTCAAAAGTGGGTCGTTTGTGCACGTCAGACGGTTGGTCGTCTGTGCACGTTTTTGTTGTGTGTTTTTGTCATTGTATCTCTGCAACATGATTCTTCATCTAGCTTTTTTTTCAACATCTCAAGAGAGCTGCTTTCGTGTGCCATTTGGTGGAGCTGCTTTCGTGTTCTCTCACTGAAGTTCACCCAAGTTCTTTCACAGAACTCATCTCACAACTCACACAACTCATCTCACACAACTCCACTCATCTCACAACTCACAGAACTCATCTCACACCACTCCGCTCATCTTACAACTCACACAACTCCTCTCATCTCACAAGTCACACAACTCACTCACAAACTTACACTCGCACAAATCTTCTTACAAACCAAATCAATCAAAGAGCTGCTTTAACGTGTGGCCATTTGGTGGAAAGTGCTTTAGTGGTCTCTCACGTGAAGTTCACCCAAGTTCTTTCACAGAACTCATCTCACAACTCACACAACTCATCTCACAACTCCACTCATCTCACAACTCACAGAACTCATCTCACACCACTCCGCTCATCTTACAACTCACACAACTCCTCTCATCTCACAAGTCACACAACTCATCTCACACAACTCATCTCTCACAACTCATCTTACACAACTCAACTCACTCAAGAGCTGCTTTCGTGTGCCATTTGGTGGAGCTGGTTTCGTGTTCTCTCACTGAAGTTCACCCAAGTTCTTTCACACAACTCATCTCACAACTCACACAACTCATCTCACACAACTCCACTCATCTCACAACTCACAGAACTCATCTCACACCACTCCGCTCATCTTACAACTCACACTACTCCTCTCATCTCACAAGTCACACAGCTCATCTCACACAACTCATCTCTCACAACTCATCTTACACAACTCAACTCACTCACGAGCTGCTTTCGTGTGCCATTTGGTGGAGCTGCTTTCGTGTTCTCTCACTGAAGTTCACCCAAGTTCTTTCACAGAACTCATCTCACAACTCACACAACTCATCCCACACAACTCCTCTCATCTCACAAGTCACAGAACTCGTCTCACACCACTCCACTCATCTCACAACCTCCCAACGCCTATCAGCTAAAACGGCACCAAAAACTCAGTGTCTCTACCCCACCTCATATCTACAAGATCTTACACAACTCAACTCACTCACGAGCTGCTTTCGTGTGCCATTTGGTGGAGCTGCTTTCGTGTTCTCTCACTGAAGTTCACCCAAGTTCTTTCACAGAACTCATCTCACAACTCACACAACTCATCCCACACAACTCCTCTCATCTCACAAGTCACAGAACTCGTCTCACACCACTCCACTCATCTCACAACTCACACTACTCGTCTCATCTCACAAGTCACACAACTCATCTCACGCAACTCATCTCTCACAACTCATCTTACACAACTCAACTCACTCAAGAGCTGCTTTCGTCTGCCATTTGGTGGAGCTGGTTTCGTGTTCTCTCACTGAAGTTCACCCAAGTTCTGTCACACAATTCATCTCACATGAAAGAGCAGTGCGAGGAAATGCTCTACAGCAAGAAAGATGATGAGGTTGCTGTGCGTGTGCAGGCATAGGAACATGAACCTTATTAACTCACCCCACCCCACCGGTATAAACTGATCATGAAAGAGTGTAGCCTGTCTCGCTCTACGGGCAAGCAAGTGATGAGGGTTGCGGTGCTGGCCTTGGGCGATA